ACAGTCAAAGACATATAAGGTCTTGAAAAAATAAAAAATATATCTGGGGAGAAAAGAAGCTACTGTCATTTAACTGGCTTCTTTTTTCCTGGATTTTTTCCTAGTTTGGGGGAGGTTGGGGTGGGTGAGGGTTGTTTAATACTGACCTACATAAGACTATATACCCTTTGGATTTTCACTGAGTTAGAAATTTTATTTACAGAGTTTTGCTCCTCCAACTTAATGCTGTATTGCTTTATGCTTGCCAGACTATGAAGAGAAAGACCTCCTATTCTCCCCATTCCCCACTGACCCACCGCAAGAATTTACTGCCGCATAGTTCTGCAGTTCTGTAATACTTCTACAACTCTGATCATCCTTGGTTTTATCCAAACCATCAGTAAACACTATACTTCACCTAGGCTTCCCAACACTACAGTTGCCATTTTCCTAATCTGTTATTCAATGTTAGGATTAAACAAAACCAAGGGCAAATTTTTGTCAGCTGTCTGCATTACAATCCCAACAGTGCTAGCCACACAATGCCTATCTGTTTCAGTGCAGTCAAGCCCTATTGGCAAGTCCCAGGAAGACAAGGAAAAACTCACCAAAATTTCTTTCCTCCTAAATCATTTGGGTCAAGCAAAAGTTCTGGAGCTCAGTGTGCAAAGTCCATGATCTACTTTGCTTGCTAAACAGATATCTTGGAAGCTTTTGGATTTGGAAGAAGTGTGTTCTATAGCAGAACCCGTGCTCCGGCTTCTCACACCGCGAAAGATTCTCCTAGGAAATGTCCTGTAGAATCTATGGGAAAACATCCCAGGTGGCCAATATGTGTCTCTTACACAACCTGCATGGCCATTTCTTCCACTCTGGCCTTCCCTCCACTTCCAATAGCACAAGGGAGATGGGAATGTTAGGCTTTGGATAAACTGGATAAATGTACACTGTATACTGCAATGTTCTCACATGGCACACAGCCACTGTACTACAGCATAAAGTACACTGTGGCCAAATGACATACAGGAGGTACATAAGGAAGTGGAAGGAGACAGAATTCCGTGCATATTGAAAAGCTGAGTTCATTCACTTTTCTGTACAAACATGGTTAAATCCTATTAAGTATAGTTACTTGGTTTCCCCAATTTTTTGCATTATGAATGATGAAAAAGATGAGATGCCAAAGGCTATACTTGGACACTGTAATCAATAACTTGTAACTCCTGTTAACCAAAAAAGCTCTAATCATGTTTCTTATTAAATTATTTACCTCTTTCATTCAATTGTCATATGGTCTACTTGACTGATCACAGGGTAACGTAGAGTGGATGACTAAACAGTTTACGAAGTCTGCTTTTTTCCCCTTAAAAGACACGTAGGAGAAGAAATGCACCACCAACATCCATTTGATGGAGACAAGCGCATTTAATAGGAGCAGAAACAGACTCCAGTTCTGCTGGTGAGCTCTAAGAGCCAAGGCCACCATGGAGGGCTGGGGTCTAGGTTTGCCATCTTGTTTGGCTTCATTATTTTTGCAATTGCAGTGAAATGTGTTAATAGTGGGCTGACAGAAATTCAACGTTGCTCACAATTGACTATAAAATATACTTCATTTCCTGTGAAGGCCATCTTCCTGAATCGAGTTTCTAACCGTTTTTCTCAAATGATTGTGCTAGTGGTTGGGGCCGCATCACTGCAATCTGTGGGAGTTCTGCTGTTAGTGTCTCTGAGGAAACAACAGACAGTGGAGATCTTTCTCTGTTTCCTGGTAAGGTTTGTTTTGATTTCTATTCAGTTTCCTTTCCTGTTGATAGAGATGGCTTATCTGAAATGTTTGGTTAGTTTTAAATCACTACGACAGTGTCAAAAAAAAATAAATTGTCTGACAAAGCCAACAGAAAAAAATAAAAATAAAAATAGCTCTTATAGAGTTCATCTCGCTCAAACTCATCCATAATAGGCCATTTGGTCACTGAAATGACACCCGCAACATTCTCCCTTAGGATTTTATTTAGCAGTGTTGAACATTTGGGCCACTATATTTAGCATATTCCTGCTTTTGTTTGTGCTTCTGAATTACACAGTATTCAGAACCTGCCAGTGTTACTGAGTATACTGCAGGCTCTTTACTGTTTCTGATCACTCTATGAGAAGATTAAATATAATGAAGAACCACTGTTAACAATAAATTCCTATTTACATTGTCCATAAGTACTTTGGAAAGCTAGTTATGGTAATTTCTTCATATGCTGTAACACAAAAAAATGTAGCACATTACAATAAATTAGTCCTAGACTCACAGTGAGATTATTTTTTTTTTATATCTCATTTTGAAAGTAGGCATGCAAGTGCTGGAGGGTATTTCAGAAATACACTGACAGAATAAAAATAGATTTTTTTTTTTGCTGTGGTATCATTAAAAATTTCTTCTAAAATGGCAGCATAAAAATCAATATTTGGAATCTTAATTTTTGCAATCCCTTTTTCCTCCTTCTAAGTCTAAAATGAAACAGGAACTGCAAGTGACTCCAAGTAGCACATTTAGACCACTCTTGGTCAAACAACCTGAACCAGTGTTGATCCTACTGAACAATACACTGAAAAAGCTGATTATACAATCAGTATACAGGGATGGGTGGAAGGAAGAGACAGCTGTTTATAGTGAATCATTTAAAGCTCTGCCTGAGAGAAAACATCCTTGGTTTTCATCATAGAGGAAAGCAAAGGGTAATTTCAGTAGCTTCTGGCGCAAACACTAGATTCTTAACACAGAAGGCCATCGTTCTTCATACTAGAAATATTTTATCATTTGTGCAATTATGATCAGTAATTACCAGAGGATTAGCTTTGTTCCTTCCAGCTTAATAAAATAAATAAACACTCTCTTCTATTCTGACAATCTGCAATAATGTGACCAAATTGGGGCAGAAACAGCTACAGCAACTAGAGATACATCCAAAGACACAAACTACAGCAGTCAGACATCTCACATGGGTGTTCCATTCCCAGTTCTGTGCTATGGCACATGTAACAGTTTTCTACAGAGTGTTGTAATCTCAGACTTCTTCTAGATGTAAAAGACAAAAAAGGAAAGGACCATACCTGGCCTTTTGAGAGCATCACTTAAGTAAAAAAAGACTAAGGTAACTTTCTATCACTACATCATAATAAAGACATGTAAGACATTCCCACACCCTGTGCATTCTATAATCAACAGTCTAATGCTATACATGAATTAGCAGCCTGGGATCCATACTACATGCTGTAGTGCACATCTCTTGCAGACTCCCCGGTCCTGTAATTTAAAGGTCAGATTCTCAGCCATGAACTGAAGAAACAGAAAGAGGCACAGATTTACAGTCATAGTTTCACCACTATGGGGTCTTTTTTACTCTGATTCTTGTAGCAACATAGTCTAGGGCAGTCTCATGCATGTCCTCAATTACCCCAGATGCCTGTGGTCTCCATCAGTCACTTGATCATTACCTGGGCACAGAACCACTCAACACTCACCCGATCTGCCTCCTAGCATAAAACTTTGACAATAGGCTACCAGTCTGCTATTCCAATCAACTGAAGCTAAGGATTAGTCCAGACCCTTTAAAGGCACAGACAGGTCAAAGCAGAGGATTTGACCTTTAATTTTCACTAGCCACCTGCACAGAAATGCTAACCATTTGCCCAGCCAGATGGTTTTCAGATTTATTGCCAGCATATCTTCCACCCATTCTGGTGAAAAGAACATTTCTGATCAAGACTTATGAGGTTTAAACTATTAAATTCTTTATTAAAGTTGCCTGCTTGCATATTGCCATTCGAGCCACTAAGAAAAGCATCTATCTAGTTTAAAAGAAACAAACAGATCATAAATAAACATTTTTCCCCAGGCTCCACCTAGAAACTTTCTCTTCTTATTTATGTCACAGCATTCCTTCACAAAAGGGTGTCTCTCATTCACTCAAAGATGTGCCATAGCCACACTCATCAAAGCACAGGAAAGTTTGTTTTGATTAATTTTGAAGCCACTTTTAAAACTGTGCTGAAAATTTAACTTGACTCAAACATTATATAAAGGTGGGGGCGAATAGATGTTCAAAGGAAATCAGAGGTGTGTGACTGAAAAATAGGAGAGAAAAAAAAAAGAAAAAACTAACAAACTCCAAATATCCAAAGAAAGAACAAACAGAATTCAAATAAAAAGTTGAACATTGTGGGTCTGGTCTTCATCTACTACAACGGACGTAACCTAGGAATATATCCACTCAAGCTGGTCAGGAAGGTCAAAGAAGAATCACACACTTAAGATCACCTTACCAAACAAAAATCTCCAAATTTGAGAATTACATCAGATTTCAGATTTTACAAGGTTCACTCATTCTTATTTTGGAGTGAGAATTTCCCAGGTTGCAACACAAAATAATACTTAGTAAAAATATACGGAGCTCTACAACTCCTTTGCATAACTTTTCTGGAGTTGCACTCTCCCAGGCTGGACCTCCTTTTCTTTTTCCACTGTCCATTTTCTTCCCCCCATTCTGCCAATTTTAACCTAGCAGGGAAAGTCCTTTTCTAGCAAGCACTGACAAAATATTCAGGACATGGACCTTGCACTCAAAGAATGCAATGCTGTGTCCAGACAGCAGTGCTATGTGCCTCAGCGAGTTGTAATAATCAATGTGTGTATTCCTAGCAGTCAAGATGTGTTCCACTGCACAGCTGTGCACCTCTGCCTTGGATTTGTTTGGGGTGCATGTTCCTCCCAAAGGCAAGTTTTGTGTAGCCAGAGTAATCTGTCTGAAGAGACTGATGGTTCACTGCTAGCTGAAGGGAGGAAGACAAATCTGTTACCCATTACTCTGGTAGGAATTAACTAATTATCCCCAATAACTCCAGCCTTTACAACGGGAAAGTAGCACACAGCTTTTATAAATAAGAATTATTGATCTTTTTAAATAGTTTCAAAAGAAGAAACTCTGCATCAAATGTGAGTATAATTTAGGAACTACTACATAGCAGCAAAACTACATTAGACTTTCCGATTTTTCCATGGTATCCTTGGATAGATACACCACCCAGTAGACCATGTTAAATGCTCCGAAGGTAACAGGAAATAAAATGCGTGCATATTTGTCTATCTTACTCGTGCCAGAGTGGGAGGCAGGGGGAGCAGGTGGTGTGACAGCAGATGGCTTTGCACCTAATGTATTAGGTGTGGTGGTCTGAATCTGCTCCAGTCTAGATCCAAGCAAGCGCTGAATGGAAGGGGATCCAGCTGTGGCATGCTGGGATACAAATCCAGTTAAAATTGGGGTAGAAGGAGGAGCTGGAGGGGTAGATCTTGCAGAAGATAATGTCTCTGATGCATTGATGCGTGTGAAAGGGTTGGGACTTGATGCAGAAAGGGAGTGGGGTGTAATGTCAGAAGACCCCTGAGCTACAGAGGGAGGTTGGATAGAGCTGTGTCTTGTGTCAATTCGGCTCCCACCATCAGCTTCGGACTGTACTGTGGCATTCATTCTTTTCCTCACATTTGAATTGGCATCTGTACTCTGCAAAGTTAAAAAAAATACTAGTCATTCTTAAAATAAACACTTAAACAGAAGCAATGGAAACTTTACAATCAAGCACTATCAGAGTAATACTCAAAAATATACCAGTAGCTTGATCCTAAAGGACAAAGATACCACATGCTCATAAAAATAGATTTAATAGCATATACAGACATAAACAATAGTTCCTTTTACCTGTGGCTGGAATACCAGGGTGAACACACATGATGCATCACACTCCATGTGATGTGGTACCTATGTAAACTTAATACCATGAGGCTAAGGATTCTTGGGTTAAGAGTTGGGGTTTTTCCCAGTGCTCAAAACAAAATTCTCTGACGTTCACCCTGATGATATAAAAACTTTAGAGACACAACCTACCAGCCATGATGGTTTACTTCTGCTTTATATCCTCAGAAAAGTAACTACCATATATTAGGAACTCTAGTCTGTCTTCTAGAGTGGATGTTATTAAAATGCAAGTATTTACCAAACCAAGTTACCCGACTGCTGTTCTTTCAGAAATAAAGGCAGTGCTTTTTCACATCAACCACAGGCAATACATTCTCCTTCTAAATTGAAGCAGTGAATAAATCAGTCTTTCACCAACTACTCCTTTCCATTATTTTAAGAAAAATGGTGAATTCTCCATCACTTGATGTCTTCAGGCAAGTCTGGCTGTCTTTCTGAAAGATATACTTAAGCCAAATAGTACTTATCAGGCTGCATGAGAAACTCATATACAGATAAGGAAGTACAGATGGGAAATCCAGTGGAGTTTAATATTTTACTGACTTTTGGGAGTGAGACTCAGGCTCTGTCTTTCTTCTCTGCATTTAAGGGAAAGCCTAACATCTCCTGAACCTCCTTCTGGAAGGGTACCTGAAGAACAGACTTTTGAACCTTCAGCCCTGCACCTAAAATATAATATAAAACATATTATATATAAAATATAAAAGAAAACATATATTATATTTTAGATACAATATGTGAATGTATTTTCTGCACTCACCACCTTCCAAGAGACAAAGATTTAATGGTAGGTAGGGTATGCATATTCAACAGCAGCAATACAGGTCTAAATACAGGCAGGACAAATCAATCACTTGTTATATACCAAAAATCACATGTTTTGCACCTCTCTGATGATACCATTCCCAAGCACTGCCCTGCAGCACATCTACTGTGCCTTTGGCTCTCCTTCCCTTCACTGCCAAATCTCACAGCACAAGGAAAAGCGAGAGAAAGTGGGCAGAGGTCTCTCTTCTCTCCTTCATGCAACGGCAATTCTCTTCAGCTAAGTGCCAGAGCAGTAACGGAGAACAACTCAGATGTTATTCAAGGTACTAGTACCTTGAGTAGTGGGAAGAGTGACAACCATGTCTGTCTGCTGCATCAGTTGTGATTAGCTGTTTTGCTCAAGGAAAGAGAGAAATGGGAGCTGAAAAAAAAATCTGAAAAAAGAATTTTAAAAAACCTTAAAAATCAAAAATCAAATCCCTTGACATCTCCAGTATTCCCATCATGGCCAGAATGCTGGCCCCAAATCCTGTTAATTACGGTACAAATCAGTCACTGGCAATACTGCTGGCCTAAATTTATCTGAAGCTGTCACAGCTATATGCCAGTTCATGGCTGATGTATTTGCCAGCTCATGGTTGATATATCAAAGAATCCCTCTTAGGTTTCACAGCTTTCCTTTCTGCATAGAAGTGTGTCAATGCCTTTTATTTGTTTTTCTGCATCTGCAATCCAAAGAAGCAGAGGACTGGAATAAACATCAGATGAAAACGGTATTTCCTGAAAAAACACTAATAGTACCTTTTGAAAGAGAAGCCTGAGTCACTCTTTGGGAAGTGCAGAAGTACATACAGGTGTGAAATTTGGATACTTTCACACTAGGGTCATCAATGACTGAGGAATAGTAAAGCAGCTTTCAAGACTGCTAAATTGAAATTATAAAGCACAATCAGAACAGGAGTGCATTTACGAGAAACTTTGTAATACCTGACGGAGTATTGCATGTCACTCGAAGGCTTGCAAAGCTAAGCAGATACAAGTCACCAGTGTTCACCATCCAAAACAATAGCTCTGTGCTATGGAGAAGCTCGCAGTAGAGCCATTGAGAGGAGGAGAGTTTTACCTTCTACATGCAGATGCTTGGACAACCTGGCTTTGCTCAAGTAAGGTTCTCCCATCATAAAGCCCTCAAGCAGTGCCTGGGGAGTAAAAGCCATCGGGCTGGGACAGAGCTTGCAAAGTAGATCTGCATTGGTACTAAGGCATGTCTCACTTCTCTCCTGCTCTCTGCCTACATTAGACCAGTAGCTTAGAGGTGGTGCTGCTGGAGAATAGAAGTACCACATCTTCAACCACTCCAAGTGCAACCATGAAAGAATGGTCCTAAGAGTAGAACAGAGAATTAAGTGCAATTCACAGAGGCACCATTTAACGCTCCTGCTCACTTGTACTATCACCTGTTTTCAATGACCACCTCAGTATCCTTCCTTTCTGAGCATCATCAACCACAGACACTGGTAAGACAGCCGGGCTCCTTCTCACATTCCAGTCACCTCCATTTCTTTTGTTGGAACTTGTTTCCATTTATACATTTGCGTAATACCTCCTCTTCCCCCCACTTCGGCTGTCATCTAAGTGACCAAATAAGAGCTGTTGCTATTTAATCCACTGCTCATGACCCATTACAGTGTTTATTCTAGAATAAAATTATCTATACTAGTTCAAATGGTCCAAATGTGTAACTGTTTAAAAGTCTACTGGGCATTCTCTTTCTTCTTGCCACTGATACACAAAATTTCCAGTACTTCAGGAACCTTAAGTTTAGACAGAAATGTAGTTTCCTCCTAAGTATTACAATGTACACATAAAGCCCAAATAGATCACACTGTAAGATATCACAACGTAGCACTACACAACAATCCTCAAAAATATGGGTACATTTCTTGTCAATTCTCTGGAAATCACCTTCCAAGCACTCAGATCATGTAAATTAGAAATGGAATTTCTAACATGTTCCACAGACAACATATCACTGAAACCTGGTTGTTCTTGCATAATATCACTGTTACAGTGTGTAGTCGCGTTCTTGAATTGAACCTTGTCCTTGAAACATACTGAAACAAGCACATTCCCTAGAAAGAGACGTTACAAAGGCAGGGGATTTGGCCACTGCTGGAGCAGCCTGTTGACCATTAATACTCACTCTAACAGTGCTGGGAGCAACTTCAATATTGGAGATAGAAAAACTTCTGGGTCAGTGCTTAGCTCCAATACATTATGTACTCAGAAGTCCTGTCTAAGGGGAACATATTCCAACTCCTGTCCTCAGTTGGTTTTGTGGAGTTGGCACACAGCAGCAAAACAAGAGGTGGGCAGCCTACCTCAGTGCTTCTTTTTTTAACATGGCAGCAGCATCATTCCCGCTGTGAATGGTGAGCACCCAGATCCGTGCCCTGTCAGAATGCACGCTCATTGCCAGGGTGGCCTTGCCAGCACATTGCCCACCACCTCCCCTCATATATCCCTTTCTTGCACTTGCCTTACTCAAGACTATATCATGACGACAGCTCATTCTCCTCCTTCAAAGCACTCAGGCGTGTCTCCTTTTTGATTTCTCCAGTTGAAAAGTTTCTAGTAAAAATTCTTGTTAACGGTTGGATACATATGACCCCTATGGATTCCTCTATTCAATGTTATTAAACTAAACTCATTTCTTCCTACATTATTCTATTCCTCTTCTCTACTGATGCCATCTCATAACTTTACATCATCCGAAGATCAGTGCCAATGTCACTAATAAAAATATTAAACAAGGCTGATTCCATGGCCAAAGCCTTAATGAACCAAATTCTGTTGACATCAGCAGAAGCCACGTTGCAAAACATAGTAAAATGCGACATTCAGTTTGTACTAAGCAAAACATTCCACAGACATTTCAGCTATGGTGCATACCTCTAGTAAAAGGATAGTCTGATAACGACAACCTGACCAACGTATGTAAAGTATTTGCTGCTCCCAAAATTATTTTAGTCTTTAAAAACAACAGCAAGAAACACAAACCTACTGCCTAGCAGTAGCTTTTGGTTTGGAGGCACTGTATTTGGTTTGTGTGGCAAGGTTTTGGCAGTGGGGGGAGGAGAATACGAGAAGCTGCAAGAAGTTTCCCCTATGTCCGATAGAGCCAATGCCAGCCGGCTCCAAAATGGACCCGCCACTGGCCAAGGCCAAGCCCAACAGTGATGGTGGGCGCGGCCCCGGTATTTAAGAAAGGGAGAAAGCTACTGCACAGCTGCAGCTGGAGAGGGGAGTGAGAACATGTGAGAGAAACACCTCTGCAGGCACCAAGGTCAATGAAGAAGGAAGGGGAGGAGGTGCTCCAAGCACCAGAGCAGCGATTCCCTTGCGGCCCAGTGAAGACCACAGTGAGTCAGGCTGTCCCCCTGCAGCCCACAGAGGTTTACAGGGGAGCAGATATCCACCTGCAGCCTGTGGAGGACCCCATACTGGAGCAGATGGATGCCCAAAGGAGGCTGGGACACCATGCGAAGCCCATGCTGGAGCAGGCTCCTGGCAGGACTTGTGGAGAGAAGAGCCCACACTGGAACAGGTTTGCTGGCAGAACTTGTGACCCCATGGGGGACCCACACTGGAGTAGTCCACTCCTGAACGACTGCACCCCATGGATGGGCCCCAGGCTGGAACAGTTCATGAAGAACCACCACCCATGGGAAGGACACGTTACAGAAGTTTATGGAGGACTGTCTCCTGTGAGAAGGACCCCACACTGGTGCAGGGGAAGAGTGTGAGGAGTCCTCCCCTGAGCAGGAAGAAGCAGAAACAATGTGTGATGAACTGACCACAATCCCATTCCCTGTCCTCCTGTGCTGCTGGTGGGGAGGAACTAAAGAAAATCAGGAGTAAAGTTAAGCCCGGGAAGAAAGGAGGGGTAGGGGGAAGGTGTTTTTAAGATTTGGTTCTAT